CTGGTAGGCCCCACCCCTTAAAATACTCTGTACAGGCATATTTGTTACATTGTATGATATACATGTATATGTGTCACTTAAACTTGATCAGTTCAAATGTTTCCTAAAGACACGTTAAAAAGCTAGATTAAATTTATGAAAGTAACATTAACTTCATAATCCAAACTATTTTTCCAATGTAAGGCCTAAAATTCCGATTGTTGAATTGACAACAGCGTTTTTTGGAATGACTGTTTATAAGGATAATACCTTGCTGTGGGTGTGTACTTCCCCTTACTGAGGAGGGAGGAAGAGGAGGTGAAAAAGCCAAGGGGGAGGAAGTATCCAGCGTGTACTCATCCACAGGCAGAAGTACTCCTCTCTCCAGACAGCTGTAAACATAATCCACCCCGACCACGGGCGTTTGGTATTTCTGGATGCTACGCAGCCTGTTGCTGCTCAGATTGGACACATCACTGGCCACTACCAGAGAGCACTGTGGGAAATGTAGGCAGAAATCAGAGAGAAAGTTGTGCTTTTTTGTTACTGCATATGAACATATCCAACAGGCAGAAGTGCCCTAGAAGCAGACAACATGCAACCTGCATCTACACCGACCCTACTGGAGAAAGATATTCAGTTTTTAGTCCTGATCACATCATCTGACCTGTTTATTGACCACGAAGCAAATGTTGCCTCCATTCTCTGTTACTGCTGACTTCAGCTTCTTCTTCTCCTTGAAGAGCAAATTTTTCAGCTCCAAAAGCACAGAGCAGTTCTCAAACACAGCCATGCCTGCAAGGAGAGAAGGACACACCAAAGTTATTATAAGCTGAGCTGAGTTAGAAAATACAGTAGAGGGCAGACAATGATGACGAACAGACAGTAATGTGTAATTCTATTCTACAGGAACTTCAGGCATAAGTTCACAGCAGGATGCATGAGAGTTGTAGTACAGGGCTTTTACACCACCTTCCCAAGGCCTGCAGATGTGCCATTATCTCCTAATGCTAGAGAATTGGCCTGTCACCAGTTACCATACACAAATGTAATTAAATAAAAAATACAACAATAAGAGCAGAATATAAGCCATATAAAATAAAATAAAGAAATGAAATAAAATTGAATTAATTGAATTAAAAGTCTAAAACTCTAACTCTAAAAGTCTATAACAAAAGCTTTAAAGCAGTGATTTAATTATACTATGTAATAAAACCAATGCGAATGGTGGGGTAACAGGTTTTTCAATGTATCTACTTGAACTGTCATGTTTTTCCATATCTCGTCAGCTCCAGAGATCACGGTATGTAGAATGACACACCCACACACACACACACACACACACAAGCTGATTTCTGGGAAACAAATGCGGAAGCAAATCGCCAAAACTGGGCTGTAAAACTGCAGTAACAGGCCACACTGAACCTCCATCTACACAGCCTCTGATAACGCTACAGTCACTGGGGACAGCGTCAACATAAACAGCATTAACGTTACTTTACATGGCTGTAAAACGGCGTTATATGGGTCATATATCGGCTAGGAAACACACAAAACAGTCAGAATTGATCAATTAACAAAGTAAGCAAAGTTAAGGTGTCCTGAAATGTCCAGTAAAGTGTATGACATGCTTAACGTTAGGTTAGCTCGCTGTGACATTTCACAAACAAACGTAACTTATTAAGTTAAATGAGACATGGCGTCAACTCGCTAACGTTAAAGTCGAATTAAATAAATAAATAAATAAATAAACTGAGGTTTACTTTGCTGTAAACATGCAGGCGGTTCTTCTGCGGTTGTTGTCAGAAAGTAGCTGCAGGTTGATGTTAAGTTAGTTCCTGAAGTAGAGACAAATACAGCCCTGTCTGTCCCTGCTGTGTCTCTGAGGTTAGCACAAAGCTAGCAGAACAGCTTCATCTTCCGGTATGTCTGTGCTTTCAAAATAAAAGTTGTGGCGTTAAAGAGAAAACCCTTCTGTTTGTATATCAAAATAGAATGTAATTTATTGAAGTACATGTTGATTTCATCATGGGAAGTGTCAAAATTCTAAACCTTTGAGTAAAACTGTTACTGATGACAGTAAATAATTGATAATGATTGATAAAACCATTTTAAAATCAAAACATTGCAGAGTAAACGAGAGCAATTAATCTCAATATTACCGACAATGCAATTTGGAAGCTGGATCTGTTTGATGATCAACAAATCAGACTTATTTTGAAATATGTTCCAACTGAGGACCCTCTCTTTCTGTCTGGCTTTTAATTTGAAAGAACATTCTGAAGACTGCAAGTAGCCTCAGTGTCAGTTATTGGAACTTGACAGAGTCTCTCTTCCTGGTTCAAAGCAAACAATGTGCAGTTCTCCACATGGAATGCTCTGTTTACAGCACAACCACAGAGCCATGCTGCCCTCTTCTGGATGAAGAGTTGTACTACAAACAAAAACTGTGTGGGGACCTAAATTATCTGGGCAAACTTAACTGCATTCACTGTACATCCAGTGTCTGAGCTAGAACAAAAATTACTGGCAAGTAGGGATGTAGTTGTGCATAGTTAATCCATTCAATGGCATTCTCCCCAATAAATCACTTTCCTAATAATCTCACTAAGATTAAAAGAGAAATCAATTTGGTGTAAATAAATGCATCCAAATGACAAGACACCACATCCTACTTCCTACCATCCTCCCATTAAAAGTAGAGTTGTTCTAATACTGTTATCGAAATGATTTTAGACACTGCCTGAAATGCAGATTTGTGTATTGTGAGTACAATCTGATACCATGTAATTCATTAGCCTCAATGGGCAGCAGTGTCCTGTTTGCCATTTTTTCTCCCAGAATGTTAAGGTCATGAACCGCCCCACCTTGACTCTGATTGGCTTAACCTGATGTTCTCGCTCGTTTAAGGGTACCAACTGAGACAGAGATGGAGACAAGCAGCCTATGTGAACGAGGTATTACTCAAAGTGCAAAGCTGGCTAGGGCAACACATCTAACCAGAGGTGACATCTGGTCAAATACAATTAAGCCCCCTGCAGCAGTCGCAGCTAACATGAGCATGCATGCAGCCAGCACTGAAGTTGAACCCTCCAGCTACTTTGATTCATCGAAAAGAAAAACGTCGTCTATGGCAATGGAATTATTGATAGATTCACAAAAAACAATATGCAAATGTTGCCATTGAGTTATTCAGACGAAAGGAGGAAACACTTCAAACCACAAGAAAATATCATTAAATAAGAATAATTATTTGATGAGGTGGAAGATTGAGACCCTTGTTCTAATCAAAACAACAGGATAACCCAGATCTCTTCGAGAGCCTTAGGTTACCTAACCATGACAGAAAAAAAAAAACCTTAATCTCTGTTTACATTTCCTCAAATTTTCTATTACAGTTCATTCATGTTTCATCACACACACATTGTATTTAAAGCAGTAGGTAAGTTAAAAATGGTTTTCTGAAACTTTCACTATATACTGACAGGATGATATGAGACAGATAATCTGTGAAAAAAATCTGGTCCCTCGGGCTCCTCCGAGTGCTCCTAACGGCATTTTCAAGAATCCATTTTGCTTCTATAATTTGCTTCTATAATTCATGACATTTGGCCCTGAATCATTCAATACAACTTCAGTACCAAGGGTTGGCCAGCAGATGTCCCCCTGGTTCTTGTATTAAAGCTGTGTTTCCTCAGTATCTAGTCTTTGCTCTTAAAGAAACTACAAAGTCTTTCTTGCATAATCTATAGCTTAATCTACTACAGGTAACCACAATTAAGAAATTAATATAGGTCAGTGACCAAATGTCACTCAACATTTTAAAAATCATAAATCTTATCCAAACTAAGAAACCTAAACTGCTCAGAAATTATCCCATACATGGCACATCCCCCTAAGATCTCCTAAATAACATGGATACATATAGATATTTTTCACAGAAGACGTTAAGACATGTAGAAGGAGGAAAAGCACAGGTGTGAATAATAAAAATGTGTTATGGCTAAATTTCATGTGGCAGCTTCAGTTCAAGGTTCATGCTGTGCAACAGCACTGAAACAGCCACATATACTGCCACAGTGACTATGTTTATATGCACACTAATTTTCCAGGTTTAAAAGATTCGAATATCAACCGATTGTTGGCCAAATAACGCAATGCTGACCTTTTGAAGAAAGTGGTTGAACGAATGAAAAGGAATCAGAATCAGGTTTATTGCCAAGTAGGTTTTCACATACAAGGAATTTGCCTTGGTAAATTTAGAAAATATAGAAAAATAAGAAAGATAAAATAAGAAGATAAAAAGAGCCAATATATACAAATATAAAAAGAGAATTTAAACAAGTGAAGAAATGTGCAAAATCACAGGGGAATCTGCAAGTTAGCAGTGTGACAGAAAAAAATGTACAGCGGGACCAACAACAATCTAACAATTAAACCACATCCATCGAACAGACGGTGAGCCCCTAATTTTGTCACAATCCAGCTCTGGAGCCGTGACAAAAACAAGGAGATGCAGATGTACGGCAAATTATAAGTAATTTATTTTTAACATATCAACATAAACGCAACCAAAAGGAACTAAGGATAAGATGAGGTATGTTTGTCAGTAGCGTAGGTAATGAAAGTGTGTGTATGCATGAGTGTGATGTATAGTGAAAGGTAAATGTCGAGACACAACGAAACCAAGCACCAGAGATGAAAGCAAGATAGAGAGAGAGACTAGGCCCAGGTGCTACTTTTTAAAAATCCTCTTTTTTTCTTTTGCACTTTTTTTTGCAAAGAGGCAAAGTAGCTGAAGCTGCTCCAACTGTTTCAGTTTTACCACGGGAGCAACATGACAGTTTCAAAAGGAGAGAAAGGGAAGGATGAGGAGAGAGGGAAATTCCTCTGTAGGACATAAATTACGTCATAACAGTTTGGCTGATCATGGTATGCACAGCTGCATGTAAACGGGAATATTAGTGGAATATTAATTTTCAACTGCTATGTAAACAGCATTTTCAGAATAAGGACAAAACTTACACTTGACTTGAGTGTAGTTAGCGTTTATGTTATTTTTAACACCTGTGCTTTTACATTACAGACAAAGGTCACTCCCCAGGGCATGATGATGCAGAACATTGTCTTAACAGTAATGAGGAACACATGAGCAGGAGGAAAGGTTGACTCATTGCTGTGAAGGGTTGGAACCATGGGTTGATTACCAAACGGGCCTACAGGACCAAGGGCCTTAAAGCTCAGAGGGACCCATTAAGCCAGAGACTCTGCATGAAGTAGTTGTTATTAACCATTTTAAAGCATTTTTTTGACGTATTGTCAAAGAGCCTGGTGATTCATGTCAATAAGTGCCAAATGTCGATAGATTGATCAGTCTCAAACTATTAATTCAGAAATTGGATTAATGATTAAATTAATAACTACTACCAAAATCATTATCAATAGTTAAAGTGGAAGGCTTTGGAGTTCTGCA